CTAAAAATTACAATGATGATGCTATGGGTTCTTTTGTGTGTGTTAGCATGGCAATACTATGTTTTTGACATGCACAAAGATAATATTGTGTTTTTTGGACGTTGCCATGGTTATGCTAGGTGTTTTAGAACAAGTATCATGGTAATCCAGCTGTTTTTGTATGTGGTACCATGGTAAAACTATGTTTTTATTAATGGTGTTTCTTCAAAAACATTAAGACATTATCATGCTACACATAAAAGAACATAATATTACCATGGTACTGCCATTTTATGAAACTGACATTACTTTAGTTCATGTCGATGCTATATGTTCTTGTATGTTACCATGGTAATACCACTTTTTTTTTTTTTGACATGAACAACGTTAATCCTGTTGTCTTTGGTCAGGTTCTAAAATGCCTGGCTCATCATGGTAACAAGTATCATGGTAACAGTGTTTTTGGACATTCACTGATAATTCTACAAGGGTTTTGTATATTACTATGTTAATACCATGGTAATCCTGTTACAAATCACACACTTGATACAGTATGTACTCACAAATTATGAATCCTTGATGCATCATATTCTATTTAAACACTTGACTGTACACTAGATTGTTTGCAGGGTGGGGTTTTACAAAGAGTGGGCATGTCTATTTTCGTTCTGGTTTATCAGTTATTGTATGAGGGACACAATACCTTTAGTATTATCTTCAAACCTTGTCAAACAACTAACAATGACAGACAATACAGTTAGTTAAAGAACTAATAATAACATTCATCAGCAATCTATAAGGAAGACTCCTAGCTAGCAGCAGGGCTCGCAAAATTTCAAAATCCCTGGTAGCCCTTCTGGCAGGCATTCTTCAGATTTTGGTAGCCCAAAAATGAATTTAACTAGCCCGAATAAAAGATATTGTATTTTTTCTTCAAATAACAAGTCAAGAGAGTAGGGGTGCAACGGATCACAAATCTCACTGTTCGGATTATATTACATTATCATCATATCACATTTTGATTCACAGATCGGATAATTTTTCAGATAAGCAAAAAAAATATGGTTCTTTATTATTTAAGTAACACTTATTATTTAAAGAACAATTTACTATTTCAATACCACAGCAAAAACTAGTAGCATATAGGGATGTAACGGTTCACTCAACTCAAGATGTGATATGATTCACGATACTGATTTCACAATACAATTTTCTCACAATTTCTTTAACAAAATTAGATTTAAGACAGATTTTAAAAAAGGTGTCCTTTTGTTATTTATCAGACCAAAAGGTTGCACATTACTTTGTGAAAATGAAAAATGTCAAAACAATATACTAACTTGAAATTTTAAAACAAATCCCAAATAAATAATACAAATAAAAGAAATGTCTCCATGCAAGTAAACTAAGGTTTTGCCTGTGTATTTTAATCAAGATCCAAACAAAGATGCTGCATACATGTTATTCAGATTGTAAAATTTTGAAATTTGAAACAAAATGGTCTGACTTTAGCCTTGTGATACTACATAAAAAAATCTGAATGAAACAAAAACAGCAGACGGCCTGAATGAGACACAAATGTCACTCTGACAGCAGGTGGCGCTTATGGAACAGCAGGTATTTATAGGCTGCTGCCCCTTTAAGACCGAATGCACGGATCCAATATAATGACGCACTTCCGATTTCTTTCTCCACTGTTTACGTTCATTTAAGACATGAAAATACTTGCCGAGATAGTTATTTTGAGATAATTTTGCGTGTATGTGTCGGTTCAAGCAAAGAGGAATCAATTCTGTGTTTGTGCTCTTCCTGAAACGCCGCTCTGTATGTGCGCGCGAGCACCGAACTGATATATCATGCACATGAATGGTTTCAAAAGCTTGAATGTTTAAATTTGTAAGACTTAGAAACATGTGTAAATGATAAACTATGATCCGTTTCACCCCTACAAGCGAATGAACAACGCGAATCAAGGAAGGGATTTTATATCACTATTCAAGATAGCCCGTCGGGCAGGGCAGTGATACATTTTGGTAGCCCGACTGGAAAACACAGACGTCGGGCTAGTGATTTTGCTAACTGACTGACTCTTTCCTGTTGTTCTTCTTTCAGCTCCCTTTCCTCACTGTGGAAGTGTGTTTCAGAAGACGGTCCAACCTCATGTGCCCAACTCTCTCTCTCTCTCGCTCTCTCTCTCTCTCCTGAATATAGGTCACCTCATAGGCATGTAAGTGCAAGCATGCACACACACACACACTCACCCAATAGCTAGCCACAACAAGAAAGATTTATAGGCTTTCACACTGTTTCCCCAAGTGTGTTTCTCTGTATGGGACACAGGACTATTGCCCTCTCGCCTTGCCCAGTAGGAAACAGTCAACAGTCCTCATGAGGAAAACGACTTAATACACAGACTAAATAATGTCTTACTGAACATCTAAAAATGCAGAAAGGTTTGTGTGAGGATTTAGACTAGAGGAAAGAAAAGATCATTACCTCAGAATATAAACAGTAGAAGTTAATGAAAAGTCCCCATCAAGACAGTGTTTACTTTGCATACATACTTGTCCCGAGATGTTAACTAAATATGACAAACTATCCATTTGATCTCAGTTTCATGATGCTCTCAGTTGGGGGAAAAAAAAACTATCCTTTTGATCTCAGTTTCATGATGCTCTCAGTTGGACAAATGAATCATAAATAATTTGTATTACTGTAAACTTAAAAAAATAATAAAAATCCTGGAGGCAGGGGTTTTAAAACAATTTTTTTTTGAGGGACCCAATTTATAAAATATAAAGACAGCTATATTTATGTATAAAGGAAATATTATTTGAACATTTTATTGATGTCATATTCACACTGTAACTTTTGATAGCCCTAAAAAATAAATATGTAATATACATACAAAAAAAAAAAAAACTTTCTCGCCTTCTAAGGGGGTCAATGGACCCAGTTCCAAACCCTCTGTTTTAAGGGGTAGGGTTAGTCTTGAGTATTTATAATTATCTTTTTATAAAAACAATAGAAGTTTATGGTATGTCCTCATTTAGACAGCCAAGAACATATATATACACACACACATATATTTCTGCTTGGATCTTGATAGATGTGGTCACTATTAACTGTTGTAAAGGACAAAATAGCAGCGTACAGTTGAATAATTGATGAAAGAATCGTGTTTTATGGGTAATGTTTTTTCCTTTAAGGCAAGATATTTTTCAGTTTTATATTTATGTTTGATATCTATAAATTGAGGGTATTTACAGAGGGATTTGTTAATATATCATTTATATATCAATATATCATTTGTTAATATATCATTATATATACAGTATATATATATATATATTGTGTGTGTGTGTATATATATATATATATATATATATATATATATATATGTGTGTGTATGCATCAATGTCAGTATTTCTTACAACCCTAACCAAAGTAACCAGCCCATGTGCTTTCTGAAAAATCTATTTGCTTCAAGGTAGTGACACGTTAAAGCAAGGCAGCATCTGGAGAACAGAGCAGGACACTGACACACACACACACACATTCACACAGTGTACACACTCATGTACCCAACAAGATCTGTGGCCAAGAGTGTGTGTGTGTATATATATATATATATATATATATATATATATATATGTGTGTGTATGCATCAATGTCAGTATTTCTTACAACCCTAACCAAAGTAACCAGCCCATGTGCTTTCTGAAAAATCTATTTGCTTCAAGGTAGTGACACGTTAAAGCAAGGCAGCATCTGGAGAACAGAGCAGGACACTGACACACACACACACACATTCACACAGTGTACACACTCATGTACACAACAAGATCTGTGGCCAAGAGCCTTCCTCGCAGCTATAAAACTGTTAGCGATTCGGGGAAGGCCCTGGCTTGCACAGCTCGTGGAGGATATACAACCCTAAATGCACACAACCACCGCAGCTACAGGAGGGGTCGCCAGTAACCTCCATGACCTTACAGAACCCAGTGAACTCCACAATGCTACTGAGGACAAACGCTGCATGTGCAATCCAATTAGATGTTGCCATTCAAAATACAGCATAATTGAAATAATTGAATGTACGGGAATAAAACAAGGGAACAACTAGGAGTGTGCACAAATAGTCGAGTATTCGATCTGGAATTATTGGAAATAATTATCTGGAATTATTATTATTATAGTGAGCTACGTGGATAAACTGTGTTCCGATCGATATGATCCCTACACAGTGTTCATTGCTCCCTACTTCCTGAGCAGAGGAAATCCGTTGGAACATGGGCTGGAATTGGGAACCGTTGATGTAGCCTATTGTAGTAATGTTGTCTCTGGTATTCTGGTCTGTGAGTTTAAATGCGTTCAGGGGGCGTGGCTTTGGACGACGATTGCAGGGAGGGTGGGACGTTCGCTTTCAGTGCTATCAGGCTAAAGTTAGCATTTTCTAAGATCTCCTACTGCACCTTTAAATACAAATATCAACTTAATCTTTAACTTGTGGCCAGCTTTTTGCTATAGATGACACCGCCTCTATAATTTTTTCAACAAAAAAAACATGTGGACATCACAACCCTTACAAAAATTAACCATGGTTTTATCGTAGTAATAATACAGTTAAATAAGAAAATAGCCTTAAATAAGAACATTATAAATACACCTTGTCTACTGGACACTAGCGGCGCGGCACGACAAAATAGGCTATACAACCCATTATAATCAGTGATGTTGTCTACACTGGATGCGGCGCAACATGATACAACAAATCCCCGACAGTAAACTGATGCCTCGCATGATCTAAAGGAAACGCCGTATGGCATTTGAGGTAATTTGTGAATTAACAGACTTATAGTCTAAATAAAACAACAACTGTTACTGTTATTACACTTGTATACAAAAGCTTTGTATCATCATGTTGTAGATTGTGTGACGTCACGTGCACTACCGCCGGTGGCAACCAACCACCGCCGTGACGCGGTTGTCACGGCAACCGTCACATCCCTATATCCCACCTGGGTGATTTGGAGAATTCCGATTGGACGACTGCTGGAAGCTTGAACTGATTAGCTTTGATGGTCTGTGAGAAGGGGTGCAGTCAACATTGTCCTGAAGAGAAAAATGGAGAAGGTCAGACAGTTGAAGTAGGAACATAAAAAATATATATGAAGAGATGCATGCGAGATGATGTCCCTTGCAACTTTGTGCCATGACCAATTGCCCCCAATAGTGCATGAGAATTTTAGCCTATAGTGTGCTAATGTGGATACTCCTAATCGTTAATGGAACCATTCTCCCCCAAAATGAGGATATTGTCATCACTTGCTCACCCTTAAGATGTTCTTGTATGATTTACTTTCTTCTATCAAGTAAAAAAATAACATTTATTGAAAAAATAAATACTGGTCATTCTTCAATACGATGAAAGTGAATGAGGATTGAAAGAAAACAGGGCTGCTCGATAATGACAAAAATATTAATCACAATTATTTTGGTCAATATAAGGATCACATGATTGCAATATATTGCATATATAAATATATAGCTATATTTAAATAAATAATACAAAAAATTATATAAAAAAAGAAATATATGTTGAACTATGTTGTAGTGCACTTTCATAACCTACTGAAAACTACTAAACATTTAGGAAAGGGTGAAAGCACAGTGCTGTCAAGGAAAGGAGTTCACTGGATTCCTAAAAGAACACAAAACAAGAGTGAAATGGTATGCAGCACAACAATCATTTTATCATGATTATTTTGTTTTCATAATCATTGAAAACAATAAACTGCATAGTAATATTTGATTAATCATGCATCCCTAAAAACTAGGAACAATAACCTTATCATAAAAAGTGGTCCATACAACCTGTGCTCTATATTTCAAATCTTCTGAAGTCATGTGATACCTTTGTGTGAGGACCAGATTGAAATTTACAATGTTACTCATTGAATTCAAGTATCTGTGATTTCTGATTCATGATCATGAGTGAATAATTTTTTCTGAATCGGATCTTAGTTGATCAGTTTACAAAACCGGAATGAATGATTCACTCATTGATTGATCCAGTTTTCACTGACTTAATGATCTAGGTCACAGCTGAAAACAGCTCACTAGATGGGAAGATTATCAGTGAATAACAACCGAAGTTTTGGTCTATTTATCACATAAAATTATGTAATTAAGTATGACTTGGAATATAGTGCATGAACCATATGAAATCGTTTTATGATACTTTTATGATGTTTTTGCATATACTTTTTAAAGCCCCAATCTCATTTTGTGTTCCACTTTGTGAACAAGATTTCTTTAAAGGTGTCATGAACTGAGAAATCAAAATTCCCTTGAACTTTTGACATATAAGAGATCATTGTACTATAAAAACATCCTGTCAGTTTCAGAACTCAAAACTTTCTCACTAGTCTAAAAACAGCTTTTATTGAAGCCAATCTGCCAAAACTACAGGTTGTGGAATGTGCCACTTTATGACATAAAAATGTGGTTAAACCCCGCCTCCGCAGAGTAAGATCAACGTCTGCTGCTACATCACTGCCTGTTTAGCCCCGCCCACTGATTCACACACGTAGTGGGTAAATAACACGAGAGGTCTAAGCAGAAATGATAAAGATGGCTGAATCCAAATGATGAAGACGCTGTGCAGTGCTAATTTATGGAAAAACACAGTCATTGCATTGCCTTCTTTCTGATCCCAACATTAGGAAAGAGTGGATGAACTTTATTTTTAATGAAGATTTTACTGACCACGTCAGGAAGAACTTGGTGCTTTGTTCACTTCATTTTACAGCGGATTCGTTTAAAAACAATGCACAATTCGATGCAGGATTTTCAAAAGGACTAAACTAAAAGATGATGCTGTGCCATCTATATTGGATCTGACAGTAATGTGGCACCACACAACTGTAAGTAACTATTTTTATAATGTGGTCACTATTGGTTTGTCTGATATTACAGATCGTTTGTTATGTACAGAGTATTTATGCATTTTTAACCTAAATGACAGCAGCGTCCATCTGTGAAGGATGTAGACCGTGAAACATACACAACTGTCAATCATAGCGGTGGGTGTTTACTTCCGAGTCTACAATCCACCATGTCTATTCAAACAGAGTGTTCTGATGAGGGGGGTCAAAACAGGACAGAAAAATAGCCTATTACTTATAAATTATGTTTTTTTTATGTAAAAATCTTGATAACATTATAAGTAGACCTTAGAGAACAGTACACAATAATAAAAGGCAGTTCATGACCCCTTTAATGTCATAGTCAACAATCAGTTATAATTTAGAAATGAGCAAATACTCTAATATAGATTTGATCTCGGAAATAATACATCAAGTAGGTTATTTATTGGGAAAAGTAAAATAACATGTTAATAACAAGTTATATGTCCATAACCTAAAACAAATTGATGCCAATGCACAAATATACAGTATAGAATGTGTAACAAATGCAAAAACAGAATCAATGTGAGCAAAAAAATATATATAATGCATGTCTTTGGCAGTAGCAATTATATGCATATATACGTGTATGAAAGTCCCATCCATCATTCCCAATGTATCAACATAGAACGACGAACAAAAAAGGCAAACTATGCACACAGCTACGGCTCTGCTCTCAAACCACACACAATATCTCACACCATATAATTCAAAGCAGAATGCACAAAGCTGGAAGAAGTAGTCCAAGAAAAAAAATGATAAAAATAAAGCCACATTTTAAATTTTGAGTTTTCTAGGAAACCTAAGAACATGGAAGCCGAGTTTCCAGGAACTAGCCTCTGCCAGAGGTCCCCATGCTCTCTTTTCTGCCTTCTTTCTATTTCTCTTCTGCTCGCTCTTCACACTGCACCAAGCCAGCCAGCTCTCAGAAAAGAGAAAAACATCTATAAAAACGAGAAGGGAAATTTACAGCTCTGAGAAAGCATCTCTAATGCTTTAGCCCGTGTACAGTTAATCTTGTGTTAAAAGACCAGAAAAGTCAACAAATGCTGCACACCAACAGAAAGATTTATTTTATTTAGATTATTTTAAATTCAAACTGTAAAGGCTTTTTACATAGTTTTACACTCTTCAAGCAGGCTCTGAAGTGGAACACACCAGGATCTGTAGCAGGGGATGACAGAGGAATTCGAGAGGGTGTGTGTGTTGTACTTGGATGGGCTCCAGGCCTTGTGTCCGTTATGTAAACCTTAACCCCCCAGCTGATTCCACAGGGCAACAAATGCAGCGAATTTCCTAGGAATTTCCTAGCCTAGCCTTGGCTATTGACTAGGCTAAAGAGTGGTTAGAAAGCCAAAGCATTTTGGAGTTGACCTCTGACCTCGAAAGCTATAACTTGGCCATTCTAGGCACTGCTGTGATACACAAACACATTGACAAACATAAACACTACTCAACTTTCCCATTTGGCTCTTGGTGACCAGAACTCCCGCCTATAAACCTGAAACACAATTCCAAGTCTCCTTTTGACCCATGACCTCTGACCCTAATCTTCATCCTCATTAACTACAAGCAACTTAATAACGAATGACAGAATGACAGACTGACTGAACTAAATTTGCAGATAAGATACTTCTCAGATAAAAATGGATAAGAATACATAAAGAGAAATACTGGGAAGGAAGGAAGAAAAGAAAAAGGGAGTGTAGACCAAAAAAAGAGTGAAAATAACTAGTAAGAAAATAATGATAAACCGATATTAAAATTCTGGCCAATAACAATAAGCTAATACATTTTTTCATATCATAGCAATAAATTATCAATATTAAAAATTCTATTATATCTTCTAAATATATAAATTAACCTAAAAACTAAATTAATTTAGGCATCATTATAAATGTACAGTATGATATATAATGTACAATATAAAAAAATGTATATACAATTTGAGATTGGCTAAAGATTACATTTAACAGCGTTTTTTTAAAGGTTAACTTAAAAATATCCTAAAAATATATGTGTAAAAAGCATGCACAATTTCAATAATACTGATAAATCTCTGAAAAATTAATTAATTAATTAATAACAAAAAATCTCTCTAAAATCACCAGCATCATTATGGAGCACTAAACTCTCACATAATGTTTCATTCATACTCGACACAGGAGGGCGCCCTCACACAGAAAGTCCACATGACTCATAGGAGTAAAAAAAACAAAAAAAAAAACGTATAAGTTCCACGAAATCCCTGTAGGCATTTTGGTGTAATTGTTCTTTTTGTATGCAATGTTGTGATTCATTGGTCAAAAAAGGAAAAAATAAATAAAGATGAATTTGACTGATAGCATAGTTTATTTATTTATTTTTATTTCCATATAAATCATGATATATCATTATCGTGAATTTTTGTGGCCACGATAATAGTGTAGTGAAAAATCTGATATTGTGACAGTCTAATTAAAAAAAATCATACACATTAATAAATATCTGTTGTATTTCATATTATAATTAGTTCATTATTCATATTATCATTTTATTCATTTTTATCATTATCTTTGGATTAATTTCAATCCAAAGAAACTTGATTTTTTTGTTTTATTAAAGGGGTGGTTGACTGGGTTTTTTCTAGGCTTGATTGTGTTTATGGGGTGCAGTCTAACATGTGTTAATGCTTCGTTTTTTTAAAAACACATTATTTTTCACATAATTTACCTTTATTCCACACCTCTCTGTCCCTTCTCCTCTGAACACGCTGATCATTTCCTGCTTTTATGAAGCCCCTCCCTCAGAAATACACGATGGGCTCTGATTGATTAGCTGGCCCAGTGTGTTGTGATTGGCTAAACCGCCTCTAGCGCAAGTCTAAACATCCTACCCCTCAACATATTATATTTATTTAATGATTTAATTTTAAGTAATTTGGTCGTTCGTAGAGATATGATGCATCTGTAATAAATAAATAAATGCTAAAGTAGAATATGGCCCCTTTAATGCTTCAAAGAGAAAAAGAGCAGAACCACATTACAAGCCAGGGTGCCTGAGTTGTATATGCCTAAAGGGAATATTTGGGCTGTGTTGCCCCCCTGCTTGGGAAGATCCAGGCCAGGTGCCTGTGGCTCTGAGAAACCCCTGCAGAGTTATATACGGCCACAGACAGAGGGCGGCCCACACCCCTGCCTTCACTGTATGCACTCAAGCTCTGCCACGTTCACTTGTATAGGCCACCCGGGTGGGGGCAGGGAAAAGGGGGGAGGGTCTGAGAAAGAAACAGTTTGTGGAAGCGCTGGAGAATTTATAAAAGTGAAACGAAAGGAAACATATTAGAGAGATTGAGAAGACAAGCAGAGTCAAATATAGAGAGAGGGCTGACTACGTAGCCCAGGTATAAATAGCAACAGCCGCCACTTTGCATGTCAGCATGTCAGCTGTGCGGCACCATGACAATGCCATGGTGACGAAAGGCATGCGGACATGCCACAGAACCCTTGGGAACCGCTGTGCTAAAGCGACGAGTCCCCTCATGCTGGTTTAGGAGGATTTGTGCATGTGAGCGTTCAGGTTTTCCATGTATATTCCGCTTGAAGAGTCATTACAGCACAGTCAGGAAACACTAAACTTGAAATCTCTGTAGACTCCATTGCTTCAGAGGGAGCAATACAGATACTGCTATACTAGTCTTTACCTGGTAGTTTGGATGATGGAGGAAGTAGTCTGGGCATCCAGCTAAGGCCATACTCAGTGTCCCCGTAATTGGTGTGATTGGTAACATGCACCTCCAAACCCCTGCACAACAGTCTGAGAGAAAAATGGAGAGAGACTTGGTTAACATCGCAAAATTACTGAATCATAGTTGGGATCAACAATAAAAATGAGAAACTAAACGAAAATAATAAATTATGATGACCCCTTTGCAACATTTAGATTAAAAATTGGTATTTTGTTTGTGAGCAAATCAGCATTTTTTAATGAATTGTTTAAGGGAATGAATCATAAACTCATATTTTTGGTCTCGCTTTCTTTGAAGCTTGTGACAACTTTCCTGCTTTCAAGAAATTAAGTGTTGTAAAGGAAACTTTCATTCGTTGGACATATTGAACCAATATGTAAACAAACTGAATCAGTGAGGCATCTTTGAGCGACTCAGTTGAGTGAATGATTTGATGATCACTCATAACACAAAAGACACACTTGTCACGGTCACCACCTCCTGGTCTAACAATGTAAGTTGCAAAAGTCACTGAACCATTCACGAAACTATGCCAAACAAATCTATTTGGTGAAGAGACTCAAAAGATTCCAATCACCGAGATAAAATCCCCACTACTATAATGTTAAACGCATATATTGGTAAACCATAACTTATGATTAACAAAATTGCTTGTGTTTTACATTCTTACGATATAACACAGATTTCTTTTTTTCTTTTTTTACAGTTTATATTACAAGCAGATTACGTCACCAGAGAAAAGTCTATTGTTTCACCCGAAAATTTAATTATGACATCTTTTTTAGGAATTATTAGTTCAGAAAAAAAGAAAATTTTCATTTTATGAATTTACTGAATTTATTTGATGCCGACTTGAAGTGAAAATGACAAATTCTTAGAATTTCTTTGGAAGTCTTTTTAGCTTTAATGACAACAGCACTCAAGCTGTATGAATGCCACAAATTTGTTTAAACCCATGTTATCCTGCATGATCCCAAAATAGCTTTTTTGTGCTCCAGTAAAAGCAATGAAATCTGTTTTATCAAAGTTGCTTTTCAACTCATTACTATGCTCCCAACTTATAGTATACTGCTACAGATATACTAATCAGAGCATGTGGTAAAACAATCAAGCACTGATAGGTATGGGCAGTTTGTGACTGTAATACCTTGTCCGCTGTAGCACTTTGACAGCCAGCTTATTTGAGACAGCATGCTACATGACCGAATCTACTACTTAAAATAGCATTTCATTTCAAACTTATCTCGAGAGAGCTGGGGGCTGTGCTGTGGTAGGGCTTAAAAAGTGAATTGGGAAAGAATGAAAGAAAGAGCTGGAGAAAGACAAAAAGAGTAAACTGAAATACGAGTTTTGATTTAAATCCTGGAACTTTTGGATACAACATGCTTGAAAGCACCGAAGCACTTTTTGACAGGGTACTTTAGCACCGCATGAAAGTCCAAACTGAGGATCTGTAAGCCCAAACGTGTGGTGCTCAAGCACTGATAGGTATGGGCAGTTTGTGACTGTAATACCTTGTCCGCTGTAGCACTTTGACAGCCAGCTTATTTGAGACAGCATGCTACATGACCGAATCTACTACTTAAAATAGCATTTCATTTCAAACTTATCTCGAGAGAGCTGGGGGCTGTGCTGTGGTAGGGCTTAAAAAGTGAATTGGGAAAGAATGAAAGAAAGAGCTGGAGAAAGACAAAAAGAGTAAACTGAAATACGAGTTTTGATTGAAATCCTGGAACTTTTGGATACAACATGCTTGAAAGCACCGAAGCACTTTTTGACAGGGTACTTTAGCACCGCATGAAAGTCCAAACGGAGGATCTGTAAGCCCAAACGTGTGGTGCTCAACGCTGGATTCAAGGCTCAATCCTGGAGCAGCTGAACAGCATGAGCACAGCACCAAAACCTCAAATTAACATCCAGCATTGAAAGACCATTCAGGCCCGCTATGCAATGGCCAAGCTCATTATACTGACAGAGAAGAAAAGCAACACTCATTCATGCACATACACAGTGATTCTTGCTGATGATTGAGACCGTACTCTTATAGGTTGTCTCTGCTAGGCCAGCAAAGGTAGTTCAATTAGGTGCATGAAGTTTAAATACGAGTAGTCAGAGGGTTCCCTGGAAGACTAGTTGATTAACCTAAAATACACATGAAATCAAAATTTACTATATTTATTTTGTTAGCGCACACTGCTATTTTTGTGGTGAACAATTCATCCATGCAAGTCAATCCACAAAAAAAATAAAAATTGTTTACCTTCGTAATCTTTAATCCAAATCTGAAAATGCACCTCCCCTCTGAAATGACGGACCTTCTCTGATGACGTCAGTTTGCTTGAGTATAACATCCTTAAACACGCCCCTCCAACTGTCAGTGTTGTGCTGAATGAAACGCCTACTTTATCCAATCAGTTTGCAGTAGAAAAAACAAGCCGGCCTCTGTTTTTCTCATCCAATATTCCGTTTCTCTCAGAAGTACGTCACAATATAGAAGTAAAGTCGGTCACAACTTCCGGTTCACGCGGACCAAAAATCAGGCTTAGTAGCCAAATAAGACTGATTCTCGTGTTCAAAAACAGACTATTAAACATCCTAAAATTGGTGGCAGATTGGTTTATCTAAAATAAGCTAAAATTGGTTTATCATGAAATTCACATGAAATTCTTTATTTATATAGCACCATTAAAAACAACAATTGTTGTCCAAAAACAGTCAATAATAAAACCAAATACTGCATAACACACACATAATATCAATAACTACACAAATTGACTAAAAAAAACAAAGAAAATGGATATGTTTTGAGCTTCACCTTAAAATCATGTAGCATAGTAGCAGTTCTAATGAAAACAGAGACGGTTCCAAAGATTCGGAGCACCAAAAGCACAATCACCTCTTAGTTTCAACCTAGCCCGAGGAACATTTAGGCCCTAGTAGACTCTGGTTGGATGACCTCAGAGATCTTACTGGATTGTGAATGGATAGTAGGTCAGAAAGGTATTCAGGTGCTAATCCATTCAAGGATTTAAAAACCAGTAACAACACTTTCAAATCAATTCTGTAATGGACTGGAAGCCAGTGCAGAGCAATTAAAACTGGTGTAATGTGCTCTCATTTCCGCACACCCTGGCAGCGGCATTCTGTACAATCTGAAGGCGGGAAAGAGATGACTGATTAATGCCCATTTAAAGAGAATTACAGTAGTCTAGTCTTGTAGAAATAAATGCATGAATCACCTTTTCAAAATCCTTAAGAGAAAGAAATGGTTTTACCTTAGCTAGGACTCGGAGATGGAAAAAAATGGTTTTGACCACAGAAAAAATCTGTTTGTCAAATTTAAGAGAATTATCAAAAAACACACCCAAATTCTAAACTCATGGTTTGACAAATGGAGACAGCTGACCGAAATCTAGACAAGAGACAATATATATATATAACAGTATATATATATATATATACACACATACTACTGTGCTAATTGAGTTCATTATCTGAACATGCTCCACCTGTGCTAAATTGGTTGATTTTCAAAACGTGCTCCTCCTGAACTTTGTTAATAAAACATCATAAATGGTGGTAGACGCAGCTCAAAGACCAAATACATCCATCTGAATGTGTTTGGCTATAGCAGTGGGACTTTAAAATGGATAAATGTCCAATGCACATTGTCAAAGCACAGCACATTGTCCACCATCTCTACCAGAAAAGAAGCCTTGCATGTGTTCAAAGAGCATGGTATTGTCTAGAACGTCTGGACATGCTAAACATTACACACTAAACCGACTGACTCATGTGTCTGTGTCATAATCTGAAAACCACATGCCTTTGGTTGACAACAATGAAGTCATTTTAAACAGAAAATACTGATGAAACTTGTGAAATCGCCATGGTTGAAGTTTTAAAGCCTGCGTGAAGTCCAGATGCATGACAAATCGACTTTCCGTAACTGCTTCAGTGCTTTTTAAGTTCACCAGGGTTACTTTCTCTGCATCATCTGGTGATTAGAAGAATAAAAAGAGACAGAGGACCTAACTTGATGTTGAAATCTACAGCAAAAAAAAAAAAAGGAGAAAGACTTTCCAAGTTCAAGTGGTTCCGGTTCATTTATCTTCACCTCCCATAGTTTTGAGCACTGATTGACAGAGGCTCTATTGTTGTCAGTTACGTAATCCAACCTGTTATTGTTAAGATATCAGACACTACATGAAGCTGCCACATACCGATATGGTCCACCAGTGTTTTGGGTAGCGCTCCGCACAAGAACCGACAAGAACCACTGTGTATAGAGCAAAGCACAACCAGACTTGATGAGAAATATACACAAAGCTGTTATAGGGCAAAACTCATTGTTTAGAGATGGGTGAAATGCTTGATGGGCACAAGAACCGACAAGAACCACTGTGTATAGAGCAAAGCACAACCAGACTTGAGGAGAAATATACACAAAGCTGTTATAGGGCAAAACTCATTGTTTAGAGATGGGTGAAATGCTTGATGTATCAGGGATCCCACCACTGCCTCTTATGTCTTCTGAGGAATTTCAAGGCCTAGATGATAATTCCAAAAGTGTCCCGTCCTCCCTTTAGCAAGTACATAAACACAGGTCAAGTGCCCCTCTTTCCTTCTTAATAGAGTCTTAGCATTCTTTCTGGAATGCTCAATTAGCTCAACCATCAAGAGTCACCCACCACCATCAGTCAGGAAATCCTGTAGAGAAAGCCAAGTCAACCAGGTCAAATGGATCCAAAAATGACAAGATAAAGGTGCCTTAAGCGTCACGTCTACTGCAACTTTGGCTATTCTAAATGCAAACAAGTATTGTAATGTATGCTGGGAACAGCCAGGATGCATCATCCAGCTCCTCATTACATCGTAGTTGTACAGGGTTGAAGCTAGGCTAATCAATATGTTGGTGTGACAAGTGGTACACATGTGTAGACTTCAATATCCATGTGAATGATAATGGCTCAGAAAGAAACATTCTAGTCTTTTTAGCTCTACTTACAGTAGTGTACTATATCTGTCTGTTATGTAAAATCCAATGAGTGACAGTCCCGGTGGACTG